CTGGATATAAACTCCCCAAACAGGTGAAAACCTGCCAGTTTCACCAACTGTCTCTGCCACCTCCCTCCATGCCTGGTTCCTCCGGTTTAGGTCCCGGTAGGTGAACAGAGAGCAGTCATACAGGACTGGGACACTTGCCACGGCAATGATTAATTTATCCTCCATTTTATGACATATGGAAAATAGTCAAGACCTGCGGTATCAGCATACACGCGGTTTGATTGGCTAGCGCTTGTACTGGCGGGATTGCATAAACGGGATTTGATTGGCTGATGCCAAGCATCGAGCCTGATGCCAAAGTTGAACATTGTTCAACTTTTGATGCCGATAGATGCTCGTGATGCTTGCAAAGCCATGCCATGCTCCCCACAATGCAGTTCGGCAAAGATTAAAAATCTTCTACGTCACCCCATTCAAGTGAATGGGCGAAGCGTTGAAAGCTTTTTTCGATGCCTGTAGTGTAGACGGGCCGTCAGAGTTAAAGACTTATATGATCCAACCCCTTCTTCATAACTACATTTCACAATTTCATTTAAAAGAAGACTTAAATTCCAAAATGACCATTTGCATTTATCGATTCCTCCCTTTGTGTTACCTTGCTTGTGCAAACATTTAATTTGGCAAACTCTGAATGCTTAGGACTCCAATTAGCTTCAGTTGAACTCAGCTAGGGTCACATGGTCGGCAGCGAGCAGCGAAGAAGTTGGAAAAGTTTTACAATTGCCGTGAAAGTAGCAGCACCAAATAGACATTTACATACATGTGGCACTGGCAGTCACCTTCTCTCTCCTACACGCTGCCATATGATTCAGTAACAGGGCTTAAAATCAATGGATTCCACTGGAACTTTTGACTTACTACGTAATGCGGATCAAAGAAGAGGATGGTGTCTATTAATGGTCATTCTATTAATGGCCCTAAAACACATTTTTATCCTATTTCGTCCAATGTTTTATTTATACTGACCTTTAGTAATCCATTTGGACCAAATCTGAGCCGACGGTGAGTGCAGGTGAAGCCGAAGGGAAGTCTCTCTGTTCCAGTAAATCAACGTCAGCGGGTCGCCAAATTACAGAGGCTGCCAGGATATGTTCTGCTACTAAGTAAATTTCCCTTATTGACACGCTTTTTAAAGTTTTCAAATGTCATATAACCTCCCCAAAGTAGGTTAACACTCACAGGTTTTGGTGTCGTAAAGTTTGGCCTATATTTGGATCGTGTCCTACAGTAATTGTAACTCAGTCTATATTTTAATTATAAGCTGTAATTGCCCTTAATGTAAATGGACTGCACTTATGTATTCACTACACATTACTCAATGAAAAGGTAATTGCATTGTTTTATTAATTACTCAGCAGCATTTCATGTGATTAGAGTCATGGGGCGGCAGTGGCTGTGAGTTAGAGTGGTCGCTACCAATTGGTGTCCTTTTGCAAAGATACTTAACCCTAAGTTACCCCCAATGGCATTGCCAAAGATATGTTAATGTGTGTGAATGTTATTTGTCCTGAGCCTCTTCTTGTGTTTAAATGTGTTGCAGTGATTATGTTATTTTAAGTTTGACCCGGAAATGAGTGGACCTGGAAGTTGGAGGGATTACCTCGTTGTATTTTACGTATATCCCAAAATAAATAAGCTTTGTGACCAACACATGTTTTGTTCAGCCGGGTAATCTCCACAT